CCCTCAGCAGCTCCAGCTCCAGTCGTACCCGCAGGCCCAGCAGCTCCAGTACTCCCAGTACGAGCACCTCCGGGACCCGCGGCACCAGCACCCTCAGCAGCCGAAGAACCTCCAGCTCCAGCAGCACGCCTCCAGCGCCGGGCAAACCACTCTCGCAGCTCCTGTGGAGAGAGTGGCTCCCGCCGAGACGAAGCACCCGGAGAACCTCCAGGCTCAGCACCGCCAGACACCACACGAGCAGGCCCAGCTCCCTCAGGCTCCGCACCCCCAGGCTCAGCACCTCCAGGCGTAGCACCCCCAGGCTTAGCACCCCCAGGCTCAGCACCCCCAGGCTCAGCACCCCCAGGCTCAGCACCCCCAGGCTCAGCACCCCCAGGCTCAGCACCCCCAGGCTCAGCACCCCCAGAGTCAGCACCCCCAGGCTCAGCACCCTCAGCAGCACCAGAGTCACCAGTAACCTCGACAGGCTCGACGGCGTCTACCTGGGACACACCTGAAGGGGCAGGACCCTGAGGGGGGAGGGGGTCTACCGGGGGGGGGCCTGGCACAAGGAAGAGCGGTGGCGGGGGGAGGGACGGAGTGCGGTAGGGGAAGAGGCGGTAGTAGGGGACCGACTCGTCAAACGTGACGTCCTGGGAGGACAGAACACGGCGAGAGGTGGGGTGGTAGAACTGCCACCCTGGCGCGTCAGGGGGGAAGCCAAGGAAGACGCAAGGAGCAGCACGAGGGGACAGCTTGTCCGCAGACAAGTCGCGGACAAACGCCCGAGATCCCCAGACACGGAACGCAGACGCATCGCCAACCTTCCCCGTCCATAGCAAAGCTGGGGAGGTCTCCGGCATGGAGACCCTGGGGTGAAGGTTGATCTGATGCGCCGCGTACCGAACCGCAAACGGCCACAGAAAATGGGGGGCAGCCGCATGCATCATGGACGTACGGGCGACGTCCATGACCATGCCAATGCGGCGCTCAGCAATCCCATTTTGCTGTGGAGAGTCCGGAAGCGTGAAGGTCTGGCGGATGCCTCGTGCACGACAGTAGGCTCGCAGAAGGCCAGAGGAGAACTCTCCACCTCTGTCAGAGTGCAGACGCAGAACAGGAAAGTCCGAGCCGAAGCTCTGCCTGAGCTGGAGACGAGCTGCGCGGATCCAGTCGATCAACACCTCAGTGACATCACCCTTGCTGCGCAAGGGGAAGACTGTGGTGTAACGCGAGTAGTCGTCAACCACCAGAAGGAAGTAGCGCTCGTGACCCTGTCCACGGACGCGGGCCGGGCCCCACACGTCCATGTGAAGCGTCTGCAGCGGGGCCTCTGTCGGAGGAAACTGGGAGGAGTGAGGGGCAGCCCGCTGCCGCCCCTCGACACAATGGACGCAGGTAGGGCCGGGCCCCGGAGGAAGGGGAGGGAGGGACCGGGGAAGACCAGAGACAAGGACACGGGAGGCCATGCCTCGGAGACGAAGCAGGGAGGGGTGACCAAGGCGGTGGTGCCAGACGAGAGTCTCGTGCGACAGGAGGCGACACGAACAAGGGGCAGACTCAGGACCAGACCTGGACGCTGCAGCAAACACCTGACCCGACGCAGCTACCTGACCAGACGCAGTGACTGGAGGAGACGCAGTGGTCAGTGTGTACAGGCTCGACCCCGGCCGACGTGTAAACGTGGCCAGGTGTCGGCCTGTCCGAGCGTCCGTGCAGTGGGTCACCCGCTGACTCGCAGGAGTGAACTGGTGAACCCTCGCATCCTGTAGGTCAGCACCACTCACCAAGTTCGTAGAGAACGAGGGGAGGTAAAGACCAGACAGGGTGCCAGAGGGGGCCGCCGGACACGGGAGGACAGTGGAGAAGTGAGCAAGGACAGGACCCACAGAGGGGTCTGCCAGAGAGACTGCAACTGGCCGGCCAAGCGGCGTGAGTGTGGTGCGGTCTCGAAAGAAGGAGCGAGAAGCCCCCGAGTCAAGGGTGAAGGTGTGGGAGGCCGAAGCCGACGCAGTACCTGAGAGAGCAGACTCACCAGCACCTGAGGGAGCAGACGCACGAGCACCTAGAACAGCAGCCTCGCTAGCACCTAGAGCAGCAGCCTCACCAGTACCTAGAGCAGCAGTCTCAATGCCCGGGTCGGGCGGAAAACACCGGTAACAGTCACCCTCATCACTAATAGTCACAGCATACATGGCAGCAAGAATAGCATCAAAGTCAAGGTCAAAGACAGCTACACCCGCCCTAGACAGCTCGCCCCAGCGAGGGATCTCAGTGGCCTCAGGGAACTGGTGACACCAAGCGTCCGTCAGGCGGCCAAAGCAGCGCTGGGTGGAGTGCGCACCCCCGCACTGCTCACCCGCGCGGTCGCCGGTGCGTAGGACGTAGGTGCACGGACCAGTACCCCCACCCCGCTGGCGTGCAGCGTACCACTCACGGAGCTGCTGAGGGGGGGGGATGTCACGAGTGCGCTGCTGCCGCTGCTGCTGCTGCTGCTGCTGGCGCTGACCACCACCGGAGCCGACCCTCTGCGCAGCGCCACCCCGACCAGCTCCACCTCCTCCGCTGCCGCCTCCTCCACCGCCGCCACCTCCGCCACCTCCGCTCCCACCGCCACCGCCGCCGCCGCCTCCGCCTCCACTGCCGCCACCGACACCTCCACCCCCGCCACCACTCCCACCACCGCCCCCACCCCCTCCACTGCCGCCACCGCCACCTCCGCCACCCCCGACAGCCCCTCCAGCACCCGTTTCCCCTTGCCCTTGCCGGTGCGGCGTCTCCCGCTCGGGGCAGACGCAGCGCCGACCGACTCGAAACCAACGAGGTCGGCCGCAGCAGCAGAGGCAACAGAGGGCAAAAGGGGGGAGGGGGAACACCCCTCAAAGACGGGGGTGCGAGGGTCACCACGAGAGGCTCCTACAGCGACTATGCTCTTCTCTGCTGCTAGGAGGGCCTTCTCGAGGAGGTCAACGGTGAGAGTGGTGGGGCAAACTGAGAGGAAGTGGTCCCTGACTACGCGAAGGGAGTCAGGGAGCCGGGTGACTATGTAGTAGAGAGTGATGTACATGGGGGGGGGGGTTCTTGGCGCAGAACTCAGCAGGAAGCGCAGCGCGGTAGCGAGTGTCACTAGTGCGGAGGTGCGTAATGAGGTCAGCGACTGTGGGAAAGGCAGCAAGGTCAGGGAAGAGGTACGGTAGCATGAGGCGGCTCAGTGCAGCAGTGGCAGGGGAGGAGTAGCGCGCAACTACAGCGTCGTACAAGGTGTGAGCACTCTTGTACTGGCTAAAGTGCGCACGCTCAGAGGTAGGCAGGTGGCGACGCACAGCAAGACGTGCAGCAGCATCGCGTGTGGCCCACTGTGAGCGAACAGTGGCGTCGGCATCAGCAGCAGGGGCAGGAGAGGCACCAGAGGTGAGGTCAAAGAGGGAGAGACCGTCTGCCCTATCGCACTGTAGGAAAAGCTGCAGGTCATCTACCCAGACGTCAAAGTCAATGGCCCGACCCTCAGCGTCAAAAGCGAGGACACTAGGGGTAGCCATGACAGCAGTAGACTAGCAGCGCGAACAGTAGGGTAAGGGCAGGGCAGTGACAGAGGCGCTGCTCTTACCGGACAGGGCGGCTCGAGCAGCTCGGCGGGTCGGCAACTCGGCGGCTCGGACGGCTCGGGCGGCTCGGCGGTACGGCGGCTCGGCAGCAACTGCGACTCGGCGACTCGGCGGCTCGGGCGGCTCGGGCGGCTCGGCGGTACGGCGGCTCGGCAGCAACTGCAGCTCGGCGGCTCGGCGACCCGGCGGCTCGGGCGGCTCAGGTGGCGCGGCGGCTCGGGCGGCTCTGGTGGATCGGGCGGCTCGGCAGTAGCTCGGCGGCGCCGGCGGCTCGGCGGTGACGGCGGGGCCGCGTGGGGACGGCGGCGGGGCCGGGTGGAGCGGCGGCGGGGCCGGGTGGAGCGGCGTCGGGGCCGGGTGGAGCGGCGTCGGGGCCGGGTGGAGCGGCGTCGGGGCCAGTAGAGGCGGCGCCGGGGCCGGGAAGCGCAGCTCCGGGGCCGGGAAGGGCAGCTCCGGGGCCGCAGGGGTAGGCGACGGGGCCAGCAGAGGCGGCGCCGAGGCAGGGAAGGGCGGCGCCGGGGCCGCAGGGGTAGGCGACGGGGCCGCGAGGACGGCTAGGAGGGGGGGGTCGCGAGGGCGGCTTGAAGAGGCCGCGAGGGCGGCTAGAAAGGGCCGCGAGGGCGGCGTGAAAGGGCCGCGAGGCGGCGCGACACGAAGGAGCCGCGAGGGCGGCGGATCCGGGCCGCGAGGGCGGCGCGACGCGGCCGCTAGGGCGGCGCGACGTGCAGGGGCCGCGAGGGCGACGCGACGGGGCCGCAGGCGCGACGCGACGGGGCCGCTAAGGCGGCGCGACAGGGTCGAGAGAGGGGAGCGCGACTCGGGCAGTGTAGAGCGCGCTCCGGGCAGGAAAAAAAGGTGGTGGGCCCTAGGAACAGTTCCCACAGGGGAATCTGCTCGATACCATGAGAAACTGAACGAGAATGAATTGACTAAGGGAAAGTTGGGTACAAATGTAAACCCTAGAAAACTGTACCCCATATGTGCTACCCCACTATAGCCTACAGTAGCTATGTCATATAAATCTGACACGGGCGGACCAAGCACATGGACATTAAATATCATTGGGTGCGTGAACAGCTAGAGAAAAAGGCATTTACCTTCGAGTTCGTACGGACAGAAGATCAAGCAGCCGACTTTCTTACTAAGGTCCTTCCGAAGGCTAATTTCGAGCGCTGCAAGTATCTTGTCGGGATGCGTACCCTGCAGGACTTACAGGGGAGCAATGTGGAGGAACAGTGATTAAGATTTTCATATCTAGGGTTGGCAGCAGCAAACCACAGGGGAGATTGTTAGAAGTGGTTCGCCGCTGCACCGACTCTAGAGCATGAAAACGACAGAACAGGACACTTGGAAATTGCCTTACCTATGGCGGTGGGAGAGAATAGGCTGGAAAACGAGTTCTGACGGTGGGAGGAGCTAGCTGAGAAGATCGTGAGGAGCAGCTGGTGAAAACAAGGGTTTCATGAGAGAGAGAGAGGGAAGAACGTTCTCAACCGCCAGAATTTTTCCAACCATTCCGGAGGTGGTGTTCGGTGGAGTTGAAGAAAGTCGGTTTCAAAGACGGTTCAGTTTGAATTTCGGTTTTCAACGTCGGTTACTGTTACGAAATTCGGATTTGCGACGAGGCGCGTTACACGAGGCGCCCTTTGAAATTCAGATTTCGGATTGCTTAAATATCATGTTCTGTTTTTCCTCATTGTATCAGTTTTTTCATAGTGAAACTTTCTGTTTACAACCTGGGTTGGAAAGCAACCTGTTTCTTCAACTTTCAAATCCAGTTTGGAGCCCGCTACTGCTGTTTTTGTGACTTCTAAGTCACGTCTTCAATACGACTAAGTCTAAGAGCTGTAACGTGCCACGTGGCATGTGGTGCGACGGGCCACGTGGCATCACGCGCTGCGCCGGCTGCGGCGCAGGGGAAGCGGGGGGAGGGGCGGCTAGGCCCGCGGGGTGGGAGGGAGGCGCGGGGGGATGGGGGAGGGCGGAGGAATGCGGTAGTGTGGGGGGATGGGGGCGCGCGGAGCCATAAGCGTGCGCAAGGGGAAGGTGCGCGGACGCAAAGCTGTGCGCGGAGGAGGATGCGTGCGCGGTGGCGGCGGGGGGGTGCGTAGCGGCGGAGCGGTGCGGGGGAAGGTACGCGGAGGAGACCCCTTGAGGCATGTGAGCAGCGGCGGAGGAGAGTGGGGAATGCAATGGCGGGCGCGTGGGGTTCGCGGGGAGGGCATCCGCATGGTGGTGCACGGGGAGCGGGCGCGGAGGGGGATGCGGAAGGGGAACGCTTCCCGCTTGATTATTATGCTCTGCCGTGAGGTTGCGGGAGTGAGGAAGGGGCTGGTTACCCGCCGCGCATTGTGCTGCCATGATGAGGCATGTGAATTACAAGACGTATAATAGCAAATAACAATTAGGCTTTCGTGGCTTGGGTTTGCTTTCCTGACCGATTTGCACTGCGATAGACCAGACGACACCGTAGAAAATTACACTGACGACCAGCCAGGTTTTTGTTTCCACATTTTTCACACCTCGATCGCAGCATCCGTAACATCGCCAAAAGCAAAAACCGCCATTGTCGGGGATTGAACCCAGATCTTAAACGTAGAGCGGAGATAGTGACCATTATACTACAACGACATGTCTACTTATCAGTGACACTAATTAATGTCAGGCTGAACAGCTTTCTACACCCTTACTGCGGCCAACTTCGTTTCGTCACGGTGCAAAACGATGAACTTTGCAAACCTCTTTCCACCGTAGGGAACCGTCCAAGGCCACGATACAAGAACTGTAAGCGTGTGAGAAATGTACAACTTGACGTCGCCCTTACTTCATCTGCTGACGTCGCCCTTACACTACATCTGTTGCAATGTTTTTGGGTTGCGTAGCAACCCTATATATTTGGTTTCACATTTTGGGGATATCATCTCGAGAGTGATTTTTTAAGTACTCTTTGAAGCACTTGTTTGAACGTTTTAAGTATGTGTTCAAACGAATGCCTCAAGGAGTGAATGAACATCACTCTTGAATGCGATATCCCTGAATGTGAAGCCAAATACGTACGTACGTATCATGTTGAAACCATGAATTTGCTCGACCGTCCCAACTCGTCGATAAATACGGCGGATGGTACGGCCGAACATAAGATTCATGCATCAACATGAACGAATGCAAATTGTACAAATGAACAACAAGGTATGAGGTGGTATGGATGCTTCAAAATGGGCATTAAAATGCATCATATAGCAACAGAGGCTGATGGGGTCGTTGAAACAGCGAAAACACGCTGCCCCAAAGACGATTAACAACCTCTAATTGCATACATGACACGTAGTAACACCACACTTTGAAACACACATACCACTAACACGAATGCACACGCACGTAAAAATCAACAACACACACACATGCACGCATACAGACACATACAAGCAAATAAACAAAGCTACAAATAGTCAAGTTTATCCATGTATAATAAATACAACCCATTTTCTCCATGTCTCCCCACTTTCCCTCCATTCACCCTCTTAAGTCTTCATCCCGCTTGCTTCCTCCCCCTTAAATTCATTGCAAACGGAAGTGGAGACGATAGAGCTCAGCTCACATATCCTGCACAAAATAATAAAGAAACAAACACAACAAATAAAGAGAGTGCAAAAGTTAGTTTAAAGTTTATATATATAAACTTAATAATTTCATAAACACGTTCAAGAAACTTATGAAACCTACCATAAAGCCATACAATCAAATTAGAGTACGAGCGTTCCATTGTATCTTACCTTACCACCACGACGCTGGGCGATTTTCACGGGTGTCGCTGGAACGCTAGGAGGAGCATTCGGTGCCTCACGTTTCTTGTTGTCATCGGGACCCGCAATATGCTCCTCCTAATGCAAGAAAAAGGCATACACATATTGGTGATGTGCACAAAAGGTGAGCATACAAATTCTAATATTGCACCACTAAAACGACATATTATATCATGCCATGACTCATACAAGACTCAATATGAAAATACCTTGATGAAGGCTGTGATGGTCCTTTCGAAGAGATTTCCAACCGCCTTCGTGACCAACTGTTGTTGGATGTAGACGTAACACGGAAAAATGTTGAACACGAGCGATGCACATTAAGAAATTTGACATTTTAGACATACGATGGATATAACATCACCTAACCACATTAGTATGACCATCTATGTTACGTAAAACTAGCAAATATGACATTTTCGTTGACTTAACATACCTTGATACGTCGACGCTTGTGAAGGAGTTCTGACAGTATCTCCTTCTTCCCGTCCGACCCAGCAGCGGTCCATGTCGCAATGTTGAAGTTGTCCAGTTCAACCTCGGGAGCATCCATGCTCACTGTAGCGTGCACACCTGTACGACGTGATTTTCCAACTTTGATAGGGAAGAAGAAGAAGAAGAAGAAAAAAAACGATTTCTTGTAATACATAGAATCATAACATTGGCATATGCACAGCGTGCTGTACAATCGTGCTTTGGCACATAACGAAACACTAAGATGATGAATATAAGAACCAACTTCAAAGAATGAGGTGATGGTGTAAAAGATAGTCAATGGTGATACAATATCATAAAACGGAGCATCAAACGACAGTTGTCACAGAAGAGAGAAAAAATGAAAGGGAACACGAGCACCTGTGGTCGTGTCGAAAACCAATGCGATCTTGTCATGCTGGGTCGGGTCCTGCGTCACGTGCTTCATGACACAAATGTACCCATCGTGTGTGCAATCACATCCAACAGGAAAATCGCAAGCAAGTGTGTCCTCTCCGGGCGGCTTGTAGGAGCAACACCGTTCTGTGGTAATAACGGTGTCGCGTATTACCACAGCAAGTGTGCATGTGATCTCTTGACCCAAAGAGATCACGTTGTCTTCCACTGGCCCCAAACTGGAGGAGTGAAAAAACGCAACAAAGATAGATTTAGGGGTAGACTTCGCGATCGTACAGACCATAGGTTGCAGATATATAACATATTCATATGTAGTTGTCCATACAAACAGGATTACAAAAAACCACTAGCAAGCTCACGAGTTGACGATTCCGACGTCCCGGGAGTTTGGAAGAACAGGGATCGGGATGTTTGTGGTTCGAGCAACAACAGCAGCAGCATCCGTAATCTTGATGATTCTCGACCTGTTAGGAAATAAAAGAGACATGCAACATGGGAAGACATTTAGGGGGTTACACACATACTTATGAACGCATATTTCTCACCACAATGTAAACCAAAGTACACATACTCCATTACCCTTATAGAATACATGATTACCACTTATCATACCTCTTGGTCGTCAGGATCTGGGGAGGGTCGACGTAGACCTCTGTGATCCATAATACCACTGGAGTCGATGTGAATGGAGTCCTGATTAGCTGCCGTTGCTCTTCCACAAGCATGCGAATCCGGTCCGCCGATGAGCCGAACGCTGTCAAGCCGAAGCGTCCGCTCTCATCACGAACCGAACACAAGGAGCGCAGCAGATATCCGGGCTCCGTCTTGGAGACCGGCAGCTCCACAATGAAGGACGAAACCTGAAAGCAATGAATGTCAAAAGAATTTATACGAAACGAGTAATCAAGAATGTGAAGTACAAGATACATATACGGGAAGCAATAACTCAATCATAAACGTTACTGTTAAACCCATGCAATCCAACAAAACATCAGAAGTAAGCTCAAACATGAAATAGCAGAAGCAATTTAATATGTTGTATGATATTACGCGACATGCCCATGCACACAAACCTGACGACGCGTGCACGGATCAGATGAGAATAATGCATCGAGTCGTGTAGCATTGAACAGACTCAACGGAATGCGATGAACGATGCTTCCAAGTCAGCACACCATCCAGCACGCCATAGGCCCACCTGATTGGAAGTTATGGAGCGTAATGTTATATGGTCGGATTAGTGACAAAATTGTTAGAAGAGTGGTGAGAACTAGGAGCCATAGCTAGGTAAACCCTAGCTAGGCAAGAGAGATATAGGCAAAAGAGGATTGCACTAGTAAGCAGGGCAGTACATATAGCAAACCCTAACAGGGTTGTACTCGCTATAGAGTACCCCACTGCAGGCTAGACAATACAGCATTCTGACACACCCCCATAGCCAAAGTGGGGTGTAATCAGCACAAGAAGCATGCATAGCAATAGTTCACAATGATAAGCAAAGCTAGAGGCTATCACAGAGGGCAAGTGAGGAGGAGGAGAGACAGTGGGGGCGAGAAGATGGGAGGCAACTGCTGAAGCTGCAGACACACAGGAGCTGCTGGCTCAGTGGCTACCGAAGCAAGGGCCCGGACTACAGGAGTAACTGGCTCCGCGGAGATTGTAGCCTCCTGACCGGAGCAGCTGACCCACAGGCGACTGGCGACTACCGGAGATTGTAGCCTCCGGACTACTGGTGCTGCTGACGACACGACGGCTGCCTCCACTCAACCTCCCCCAGCTGCCCCACGCCCCTATCACACACCCCCTGCTGCACCCCTAGCTCCACTCCCACGTCACCCCCCTAGCACCACTCCTTCGGCTCCCACACACCCACCCCCCTGAGCGGCAGCTGCAGCAGCGGGAGACGGAGGAGGAGGAGGAGGAGGAGGAGTAGGGGACGGCGCACACAACCGGCACCCCCACAACCGCCACCCCCACACTCCCCACCCCCAAACCCTAAAACGGGTGGCACGGGGTAGGAGCGCGGGGGACGGCGAGGGGGACGGCGCGCGGCCCCCAGGGCGCCAGGGAGTTGGGCTTGGGGCAGTTGGGGCAGGTCACGGAGGGAAAGGGAGGCGGCGGGGAGTCTCCAGGGCGCCACGAAGGAGCAGGGCGCGGGCCCCCCGAGGGCGCCACGGCGGGTGACGGGAGGGGGGCCGCGCACGGGCCCACGAGGGCGGCTCGACGGGCGACGGGAGGGGCCGCGCGCGGGCCCCCAAGGCGCCGCGACGAGGCGACGGGTGGGGCCGACGCGCGGGCCCCCAAGGCGCCGCGACGAGGCGACGGGAGGGGCCGGCGCGCGGGCCCCCAAGGCGCCGCGACGAGGCGACGGGTGGGGCCGACGCGCGGGCCCCCAAGGCGCCGCGACGAGGCGACGGGAGGGGCCGGCGCGCGGGCCCCCAAGGCGCCGCGACGAGGCGACGGGAGGGGCCGGCGCGCGGGCCCCCAGGGCGCCGCGACGAGCAGAAAACTGCCGCGCGCCTCCGGGCGCACCGCGGGTAGAAAACCGCCGCGCGCCACGAGCGCGCGGCGGGATGAAAAAAATGTCGCGCGCCCGGGGCGCTCGACCAGCAGAACAGTAGCAGCGGAAGCAGTAGGCGGGCCCACAGGCCAGGAGCGTAATCGCTC